GTTTTGTGAGATGGAGGACTTTGTGGATTGGTGTTGGACATATGGGTTAATGTTGGACTTGTGGGCTTGGGAAGCATTGGGTTGGGATGTTTTCGTGATGCACACTTTCTTTACATAAAACTCTCTCATACATGAGTTGCTGTGGATTTGTTTCTCGAAAGTACCCAGACTAATACAGAGTCTAACGACCCTTTCACAGGGGTTGCCTGATTCACAACAGTAGCAAAATTACAGTTATAAAGTAGCAATGAAAATAATTTTATGGCCTGGGCGGGGTCGCCACAACATGAGCTGCTGTAGGAAAGGGCCGCAGCATTAGAAAGGTTGAGAACCACTGCTCTAAAGAAAGCTGAGGTTGTCTGTTCCCATAAAGATTTATCGCCTTGGAAACAGTGTAGGGTCCACATAAGTCAGAATTTGCTGGATGGCAATGGGTTTTTGTTTTTTTCCCTGTTTCATTACTCAGATGCACTCTTTATTATATGGAATATTTGTTATTGATTTATTAACTGTATTCTCCTCCCCAATGTGCTAGCAATGCCACCGTGCAGGGATCTGGTCTGTCTGCTGTTCTGCCATACCTAGACCAGTGTTTTGTACCTAGTAGGTCCTGTTTAACCCAAAAAAAGGCAAACTCACTGCCACTGAGTTGCAGGGAAGCACTGCCCCGGTGGGTTTCCAGGACTGTAACTCTGTTTTCAAACTGATGGTTTCAGATTGCTGATCTTGCAATCACAGCCCAAAGGTAATCGATATACCACCAGCATACCCCCCCCCAACACACCTAGATCCTGTTAGGTATTTGTTAAAATACTTGCTGAATAAAAAATACAGTGTTTTTTTGTGTTTTAGATCTCCAAACTGTTTCATGAATATGCATGCTGGCTCATTTCGTCATTACAGCTCTGTGAGTAAAATGGGATCCTGAGCTGATTGTACAGAGGCTCAAAGAAGCCTCTCCAGGCCATAAAGAAACAAAATAACAAGGAAAAACCTCAGATCCACTGCTATCAAGTTGATCTTGACTTCCAGCAACTCTATAAGCCATAGTGAGTAAAAGAAAGAGCTGGGATTGTTCGCTTTTACCAACCCCTCACCCATGCCTAGGGCGAAGACTGTTTGACTCCTGTGGATAGTAGGAGCAACCTGGACATTCTTTGGTTTTGTTTTTAATTTTGAAAACCTGAAGGAAGACTTTAATTGCTTTCATTTTTAGGCACTTCCTTATTTTTATTTTTGGTGAAACTATACACAGCACATTAAACCAAGCTAAACTCATTGCCATCTAGTTCATTCTAACTAACGGCAACTCTATAGGACAGAGTAGAACTGTCCCTGTATAAAGAGACTGTATTTCTTTTTTTTTTTTTTAACATTTTATTAGGGGCTCATACAACTGTTATCCCAATCCATACACACATCAATTGTGTAAAGCGCATTTGTACATCGTTTCTCAAAACATTTTCTCTCCACTTAAACCCCCGACATTAGGTCCTCATTTTTCCCCTCCCTCCCCGCTCCCCACTCCCTCATGAGCCCTTGATAGTTTATAAATGGGTATTTTGTCATATCTTGCCCTGTCCGACGTCTTCCTTCACCCACTTTTCGGTTGTCTGTCCCCCAGGGAGGAGGTCACACACACTTCCATGTAATCGGTTCCCTCTTTCCTACCCACTCTCCCTTTACCCTCGCTGTTTTGCCCCTCACACCACTGGTCCTATAGGGCTCATCCGTCCTGGATTCCCTGTATTTTCAGTTCCTATCTGTACCAGTGTACCTCCTCTGGTCTAGCCAGATTTGCAAGATCGAATTCGAGTCATGGTAGTGGGAGCGGGGAGGAAACATTTAGGAACTAGAGGAAAGTTGTATTTCTCATCATTGTTACCTCGCACCCTGACTGGCTCATCTCCTCCCTGAGACCCCTCTGCAAGGGCATCTCCGAGACTGTATTTCTTAATAGGAATAGAAAGCCTCATCTCTCTCCTGCAAAGTGACTGGTGTTTTTGAACTGCTGACCTTGCTTAACCACTGTGCACAGCACCATGCACAGCACTATGCACAGCACCACATAACCCTGGTTAGCCATGTTTATGTAAGCAATGCAGTGTTCACTGGTTACATGTAAGTTATACCATCATTGACCTTATCCTTTTCCAAATTATTTTTCCACCATTAGCATACTCACTGCCCCTAGCCTTCTCATCTACCTTTTCTAGCTGCTGAACAAGCTGCGCTTAAATAAAAAGGCGTTTCCTGTCCTTGAGGTTGAATCCCTGTCATTCCATGCCCCACGCCGTTACACACACACACACACAGCAGTTCATGGCGGCAGTGACAGCTCCTTCAATGTAAAGGAGGAAGAATATTAACTGCTTGCCTGTTTGGGACCCCGAATTCCCTTGTGTTCTTGTGTGTGTGTGTGTTTCTCAATTAACCAAACAGTAAACACACACACACACATTCAGCTTTATTAAGGCATAATTATGCCTCCTTTTAAAAGTGTATGTGTCGGAGGAGAGTGGAGGTTTTTGTACTTTAAAGTGTGGTGTTTTGCACCCACATTTCTTAAAACCCAAACTCACGGCTATCGAGTCGATTCCGACTCACTGCGACTCTCTAAGATAGGGGAGAACTCCTTTGGGTTTCTGAGGCTGTGAATCTTTAGGAGAACAGGTAACCTCATCTTTCTCCCGCGGAGCCCCTGGTGGAATCGAACCGATGACCCGTTGGCTAGCAGTCCCAACGCCTTCACTTTTTGGTTCTCCCAAACCAAACCGAAGGATTGAGTAGAATTGTCCCTTAAGATTTCCAAGGTCGTGATCTTTCCGAAAGCTGTTCACATCCTTCTCACGCTCCACACTCAAGCACCTATAAAATGTTCCTTGGTTTTCCCCGTATGATTTCGTAGCTTTAACACGTGGAACCGGGTGTACACAGTCCCAGCTCAAACTCCCTCCCCAACTCTTCCCACGGAGTCAACTCGGCCCCAGCTTTTCCTGGAGCCCCGCCCCTCGGCCCCTTTCCAGCTCGGCCCCCACGGCTCTCTCCCGGCCCTCCCGCCACATCTCGCGAGAGGTGAGCGCCTGGCCGGACGGGAGGAAAGTATCTGCTACGCTGAGGGGGGAAAGAAGGAGCCGGAGGCAGATTGTGGGAGCGCGCGCGGGAGGGCGGGCGGCGACGGAGCTACCAGCGGGTGAGTCTTGTTCATATTAGCTAGTCCATGATCTGACAGGAGTCTCCTCTTCAACTCGGGCCAGTCCCAGTGTCCCAGTCCAGGGGCTCCCCTCCCAGTCTGTGTTGGACGGGGGCGCTGAGGCGGTGGCCGGGCCCTGTCTGGGGAAGAGGGTGGGGCGTAGGCCAAATCCGGCCAATAAGGGAAAAGGAAGCTGTGATTGACGGCGATGAGCGCTAATGGGCGGTTGCCTTCACGTTGTGGAGTGCCGCCCCTCTTCTCCCTACTCCCGCCTCCTTCCTTTGGGGGGGAAGGCGGGGCCTGAGGCCTGAAGTGTGGGGAGAACTTGGGGTAAGTAGCCCCGGGGGGCACAGGGCGTGGCAAGGAGAGGGGAGTTGAATCCTGAGGGAAGGGTAGCCTAATGGAAGGGTCATGGAGTGGGGTGGAATGGGCTAGAGGGTAGGGCTACTAAACTAGGTTAAGATCCAGGACTTCCCAAAGAGTGGATTTAAGGGGTTAGCATTGGACGAGGCATATTGGCAGGAAGCGGGCACTGAGTGGGCGAGAACCAGGACTCTTGGGCTGGTGAAAATAGGGCATTGAGGGTTAGCTGGAAAGATAGGTGGAGGTGAATCATTGGAATTGAGGGTCGTGTCATTTCGACTGGCCTAAGTAAAAGAAAATCAGGGACATGCCATCAGAGAGAAAGTAGCGACTTTGAGAAAATTAAGTGGATTTAATTTAGGAAGACTAAATGGGTTAGGCTGAGTAACTTTGGGAAGGCGTTAGTTAGGAAGGGTATGGGAGTCAGGCGGGTGAGGGTGGTTCTGGGAAGTTTTTGGATAGATAAATAGGACCCTCTTAGGATCAGAAGGCTGGTCTATTGATTTTGAGGCTACTGCTTGGGTCTGGCACTCAGACTGGTGGCCCGCCTGCAGGAATGCAGGGATGGAGGTAAAGCAGGAGAAAAACAACACTTTTCATCACTTCTACTCTGATTTCCTTTCTCTCTTCCTCTTTCCACACTTCATCTCCTCCTAAATAGAGAGAGGTGGGGTTGCAACTGAAGGCAGTCCAAGATGGAGCCCCATAGGGACTTATATGTTCCTCCGAACTGCTTGTTATGTTCACCGACTGGGGTGTTTACTACCCAAGACACCTCCCCAGATTCCCATGTTGCTATTTTCCTGACTTTAAAAGTTTGTTTTCTCCTTAACAAGAGGGTATTTTTGTCTTTGTAATAGGGGTCCTGTCAGTTAAATGCAAGTTAGTGGACATGCAAAATATTCTCTGCAAGCTCACTTGAATCCTGTGCTTAACATTTTTTTCAGTTAACTAATTCTTGGAAAGACATCTTCATAGGCATGTGAAGCACATAAGAAAAAGACACTTAAAGTGAGTTTGGGTAAATGTGTGACTGAGTCACTCATATTCTCGAAGAGTTGTTAGTTAAAACAATTAGTTTTAACTTAAACTTTTTTTTAAAAAAACAAAGTGTTGAGTAGAATAGATACCTATTTCAGGAGCGTGAAAAGCATTCCATTTCTTCTTTTGTGTGCAGACCAGAGCCTAAAGATATGTCGTAATGTATATCTTAGGGCAGGGGTTGGGGAAATCAAACTCAATTTGTACTAAAACATGGAGGATGTAAGGTAAGTGGAAGCTATTGCGAAATGTAGCACATTTGTAAGAAAAGAAGCTAAAGAAAAGTTTGGCAGCTGTACTAAGTAGTCTTACCAGTTCTTAGTCTGTACAAAAAGGGGACAGGCCTTTGCCCTTTGTTAGTTGTTTTTCATTTGATAACAAATTGAGAGAATGCAGCCAACTAATAACTTCTTTGTGATAGCATAGCTGTTTTTAATATTCCTTCTCTTTTTACTTTTGAGAAACAAAATAATATCCGGAATACTGGTAACATTATATGAGGAGAAGCCACTGTATATATAATCTTGAATGGCCATTTGGTTTTGTAACCATTTGAAGTTTTTCCCTTGGCCAGGATGTTGCCTCTATAGTACATGGAGACCAATTAAGTACTGACCCTTTAGCATTAATTACTGAATTGGATAATTCACATTAAGAACATTGCTTATTGGACATTAAGTCACCATGCCAGTTGCCAAAAAGAAAATACCCAATGAGAGAGTAGAGTATTTTGTTCTTTCGTCCCAGAATTTGTGATGGTTTGGACTGGACCCCAAAACACCACCCCCCTCCAAACGCCCCATCATTTAACTTATGGATCAAAGTATATACCAGGTGGTCGTTTCAGTGTTGTAATTTTTAAACACCTTTGTTTGCCATGGCTTTTAAATGTTAATAGCCACTGGTACTGGATCTTGTTCCTATTCCTCTCCCCACTTTCAACCCCAAGAGAAATTTATTTTTCAGCCAACTACTTTGCCTCGAGTAAAATCCCAGGCTCTGCCTGAACACAACTGCTGTGAAGTTCTCACAAGTTACTGTTTTGAGCATGTCAAGACTGAGTTTTCCCTGGGCTGCAGGTGGGAGGGGAATCAGTGTTACAGCAGCCTCCTATCCACGTCTGAGAAAGGAAGAGCCTTCTCCTTGCAAGGAAGTTGTAGGTGGAGCAAATAGCACAGCCATGTAAATGTCTAATAAAGACAGCTCTCTTCTTGAGGTTAGTTGGCAGGCTGGTATATAATTGTCCCTTATCCCTTGATAAAGGTTCTAAAGTTAAAGTGCAGACATTTCATTGAGAGAAACCAAATGCAGCCCTGATTTTTTTTTTAAGCTTTCATTTCTTTTGTTGGCAATGTCTCTGAAAATGGCAGTTTGATTTTAAGATTCATGAAAAAGTCTTCCTTCTCTATTAAAAACGTCAAAAAAAACCCCATTTTTAAGTTTCTGCTGCCTAACAGAATAATTAAGTTTTCTTTTGGGATCAAGTGTAGTCACAAAATGTGAAATTGCATCGTATTAGGAGTCCTTGCTTGTTTTAACTTCTGAATGCTCTAAGGATGAGGTCCCACTTCACAAGTACCCTGCTTCGTGGTGGAGTTCTACTTTTAGAATATCCTTCATATTGTGCTGAAGCTCATTGTTGTGCCACAGTAACACTTACAAACCAAACACATATACACACACACAAAATTTACAGTTGGTGTAGGTTTTCATATAGCATAATAATAAACCTAAGTCTTTGTCCACATGATAGCTCTTCAACTAGTTGATGATAGTTATGCTTTGGTAAGACTTTTCTTTCTGGGTCAAATACTCCAAGCTTTCCCATCTGTTCCTTAAATGGCATTTGAAGTAAGTTTTGTGCTCCTCGTTAACTCAGTTACCTAAGTCTTCAGAGTTTTTAATCCATATCTGAATATAGCATCTGAGATCAATATGAGTACCAGGGATATTTTAGCATTTTCCCCACTAGATTCTATACCTCTGCCCTTAAGGAACCTGGGCAGCATCGTGGGTTACACCTTAGGTGGCAGGTCAAACCCACCAGCCTTTCTGAAGAAAGAAGAGGGAGGCTTTCTATTCTCCTAAAGATTTACAGCCTCAGAACCCTACAGGGACAGTTCTACTGTATCTATAGAGGCCAGTATTATTTGGAATTGACTTGATGGCAATGACTTTGGTTATGGTCTACCTCTGTTCTTAAAGTCTAAGATCACATTAATGTGTGCAGTTTATTTGCCTTACATAATTGAGAACTGTATCCCTGCAATTATCATCTTGTTAGTTTTAGCTTACTGTTTTAGCTTGATCATGTTATTCAAGTCTCTCGGCCATTCCTCCTGTCTTTGTATCACTGATAAATTTGATAAACATTATATCGATGTTTTAATTTTAGTTCACTGTTAAAAACGAATAAGGGTGGAACAGTGCTGTTTGACACGAACAGATTATCATTAAACCAAACCCAAAACAATTATAGTAGAGTTGACCCAGACTTGTGGTGACCCCATGTCTGTCAGAGTAGAACTGTGCTTTGTAGGGTTTTCAATGGCTGATTTTTCCCAAGTAGATGAGCACATTTTCTTCTGAGGTACCTCTGGGTGGATCTGAACTACCTGCCTTTCGATTAGTAGCCAAGTGCTTTAACTGTTTGTGCAACCCAGGATACCCAGACAATCATTCCAAAATAAAATCCCACAGACCACTGCTAGTAGTCAGTTTCAACTCATAGTGACTTTACACAGGGTTTTCGAGGCTGTAAATCTTTTTTTTTTTTTTTAACATTTTATTAGGGGCTCATACAACTGTTATCCCAATCCATACACACATCAATTGTGTAAAGCGTATTTGTACATCATTTCTCAAAACATTTTCTCTCCATTTAAACCCTCGACATTAGGTCCTCATTTTTTCCCCTCCCTCCCCGCTCCCCCCTCCCACATGAGCCCTTGATAGTTTATAAATGGGTATTTTGTCATATCTTGCCCTGTCCGACTTCTCCCTTCATCCACTTTTCAGTTGTCTGTCCCCCAGGGAGGAGGTCACACACAGTTCCATGTAATCGGTTCCCTCTTCCCTACCCATTCTCCCTTTACCCTCCCTTTTTTGCCACTCACACCACTGGTCCTATAGGGCTCATCCATCCTGGATTCCCTGTATTTTCAGTTCCTATCTGTACCAGTGTACCTCCTCTGGTCTAGCCAGTCTTGCAAGATAGAATTCGAGTCATGGTAGTGGGAGCGGGGAGGAAAACTTTAGGAACTAGAGGAAGGTTGTATTTCTCATCATTGTTACATCGCACCGTGACTGGCTCATCTCCTCCCCGAGACCCCTCTGCAAGGGGATCTCCAGTGGCCTACTAATGGGCTTTGGATCTCCACTCCACACTCCCCCCATCATTCACTATGGTAAGATTTTTTGTTCTGATGATGCCTTACACCTGATCCCTTCGACACCTCGTGGTTGCATAGGCTGGTGTGCTTTTTCCATGTGGGCTTTGTTGCTTCTGAGCTTGATGGCCGCTTGATTACCTTCAAGCCTTTAAGACCCCAGACGCTATACTTTTTGATAGCCGGGCACCATCAGCTTTCTTCGCC